ACTAACCTGCTGGTGGACCAGTCCTTACAAACTTTGTATTACACAAAACTTTTTTTAAATTCTAGTGGACATTCAAAAGTTTGCAAAGATACTAAATGTATCTGAAAATATGTACAACGTGATGCATTTGATACAATGTTGCTATAAAATCAGGGAGTTTGAAAGTTTTGCTGCGATCCGACACGATTGGATTAAACACAGTGTGATTCAACGTGGTACGATATGATGCAAAGGAACATGATGCTATTCAATTCAATGTGGTACAGACAGTTTGATTTTATTTCTTTGGTTCTTCTAAAGCAGCTTCAGAAAGAGTCTAAAGAAAATAAAAATATAATAATTAAATATAAATGTAACGGTCACAAATGATTGTACACATTAATAAAGGCAAAGGGCATCTACTAATAATTTAATTAATTAGATTTTGCTGATGCAAAGATGTCAGAAACAACACTTTAATATATATATATATAAATATTGTGTGACAAAAAAATAAGTGTCTTACACGTTGCCCGTCTTTCCCTTTCCCTGGTGGTCCAGGGGGTCCAATCAAACCGGGCTCTCCGGGTGGGCCTGCGGGACCTTGTTGTCCTGGTTTACCCGGATCACCCTAAAACAAACGTAACAATAAAGGAAGAACTTTTTAAAAAAATGTGTGATCTTCATTGTGATCAGAGGTAAACACACCATCACACCCTTGGAGAACAGATACTGTGTCACTAGTGGAAAAAGTGAAAATGAAGCAAATCAAAACAAAGAGAGACAGCAGAAAACATTCGGAACCGCTCATGTAAAGCTGCTGCTGTTTGATTGAAATGAATACAAAGACTTCTCTTCTGAAACAATAACGGAGGACATACAAGGTCACTCTCTCTCTGCTGCACTCTGCATTGCCAAAACCATTCTGAACATAGTTTGAATGCTTTCAGAAAAACATCCAAACAAATATAGCTTTTAAAAATGGGTGACTGACCTTGTCTCCTCTCTGTCCAGCTGGACCGGGAGGCCCGATGATCCCTGGTATGCCCTAGAAGAAGACAGACAACTGGTAGTTCAACACTGAAGTGACCTCTTCATATTTCATATTACACACACATTATTCTTGTACAGTCACAGAAACGGTTTTCTGTTTAGAGAAACACCTACCACATTCCCCGGTAATCCGCGAGCACCTTGAGGACCAGCTAGGCCAGGTGGACCCTGGGAGAAAAACATCAGCCATTATAGTTGGTACAGAACAGTGCATCTTGTATTTGGTGTGTTATAACAAATCAGACAACTTACAGGGTCTCCAACACGCCCCGTCTCTCCTGTAAGTCCAGTGTCACCTTTAGGACCCTGGAATAAGAACCACATATTAGACATATTCCACTTCACATCACTCTACGGCACATTGGCTGGGAAGTACAAGCCCGCTACAACTTACCGCTGGTCCAGTCGGTCCCTTAAAGCCTTGTTCACCGGGCAACCCTCTTTGACCCTTCAGAGAAGAATTAACACAAGTTTCAATAGTGTAAGCCTACATGCTGAATATAGGTACGTTTTCACATATTCTTGTCAAAATTATTATGTCATGTTCCTCATAAAACCACTGTGAGGACTATTATAATGATCCAGATGACAAAGATATTAAATTAATGAGGGCTGTGCAATGAAGTTTGCAGATAATAACGACATCCATGCATGAAGAATTACCACAATATTCTGTGACAAAATGAATGACTCATTATTCATCATCTTCATGGGGTGCTTGAGAAAGTCAAAGATAATGGAAATACATTATTGTACATAATGTATTTGAGCTGCTATCAGGCCAACTTCAACCTAAATATACCAATATATTCTGTGTTTTATTCTGGTCCACTGTTTCATACTGTACAGCTATAAAGTGAAATGGAAAGAGAATCAGGCCGGTGTATTACTCTGTCTTACACTTTAATTTACTCAGCCAATTAAATAAAGTCCCATGAGCTCCCTTGTTGTAGCAGGGCTACTTCACTGTTGCCACACTAAATCTCTACTGACATCTAGTGGACTCCTCTGCACATTGCCAGATGTGGTATGGTTACATTGAAGAGAAGAAGACAAGACAACAACAAAAATAAAGAGAAAAAAAAAACTCACAATCTCTCCTGGTTTCCCTTGATCCCCCTTCTCTCCCTTCTCTCCAGGTTTTCCCTAAAGGCAAGAACAAACAATGCAATTAGAAGTTTTAGTGGAAAAGAATAAGTAGATGAAGAGAAGAGGAAAAACTAAAGAAGATTAAAGGATCATATTAAAAGCCAAACCTTTGAAGTATTCAGCTAAAAACAAAAAATAGCTCTAAAATCCCATTAATTTCCAACAGAGTTTGGTCTGTGTAATAAAAGAAGTCTACTCACTGGTTCACCAGGCTCAGGGATGACATTCGCCACCTGGGAAGAAACAACAGACAGCATCACTGACTGCATTCCCTCCATCATGGTTATGTCATACATTGCCTGACTGTTAACAGCAGAAATTTTTCTTACATTTCCTGGAGTGCCAGGCGGTCCCCTAGCTCCCACTTCACCCTGAGACAAGAGACAATATGTTCACATTGTCTGTAGACTAATGACCTTATTACAGTTAATACTGAAGGGCCATTACAGAGACAGAAGAGGACAACTCTGTAGCTACTGTAACATGGTAGGCACAGCAAGTATTCAGCATTTGTTTTTGCTTGACATTTAATTTTACCTTGTATGGTTGTACAGCATATGAAGCAGGTTCCTTATTTCTTATTTACCTTGTCGCCCTTGTCACCTTTTTGCCCAAATGGTCCATCCTGTCCTCGTTCTCCCTATGGAAGAAGAAGCCAAAATCTAAATTGTAAACATTTCTACAGACCATATAAGCCCTTCAATACAGGCAAATAAGGAAAGTTTTTAATTGGAAGTAGGAAGTCAAGACCCGTGCATCTCATAGTGGCATTTGGGGATAGCTCGAGGGCTGCTGGGTGTCTCTGGAGGTTACCCAGCCAAAATTAGGAGCAGTTCATTTCACTATATTATTATGCAACAGAAATCATTTCTGTTGCATAATAATATAAGAGTACCCTCAGGAGGACGTCTCCCCATACACAGCTTTAGATACTAACCCATTAATGTCCACAGTGGAACTTTATAATTTCCTGTACAGCACTCTGAGCTAAGCACAAATCTACTGACATCTTTCAAATAGGATAAAGTATGAGGCTACAGCACACATATTCTGGAGTGTTACAACATGGATTCAAAAAGTAATAATTGTAAATAATAACCTGTTGCTTTTTCTTGGTCCAGTATTGTCATTGTGCAGACCTAACAGACATTTTGGCTACGTACACACTGCAGGCACAAGTGGCCCAAATCTTTTTTTTTTTTTTTTTGCTGAAATGTAATACATTCAATTCTTCAATTCAACTTTCACATGTGATCCAAATAAGATACAGCTCAGATTTTTTGCAGTGTAACCTCAGTGTGAACAGTAATATTAGAATTCACACAACTTTTATTTCACTCTAGATAGACAATCATAATGCGGGTCAATTCAGTACTGTGACTTGTTCACACTGGAATCTGATACATATAATGTGAACAGCCAAACAAAAAATGAGCAATGAATCAGTATTGTATTCCTATGGGATAAAATAGTAATCTCTATGGATAATGACTGAAAATATACTGTGTTCTTGAAGTCAAAATGGCTCTTGACTTCAAGAACAACTTAAATTTGTGTTCTTTGGTCCAGTGTAAATATGGTATGTCAAATGAACGTCAAACTAATTTATTTGATTTCTTTCGCATTTTTGAAAGAAAAACAAATTTGTCCACCATGGACTGTTTGCACAGCAGACATTTTGTCAGGTCATAGCAGAAAACTCACAGGGTGTATTAATGATTGCTGCATTCCACTTAAGGGATTGTGCATGTGTGCTGGTTCCCTGTCACTGTCACTGGGACACTTAAAGGTCCAGTGTGAAGGACTGAGTGGCATCTAGTTATATAATTGCAACCTTTCCAAGCGCAAGGGACAAACTACGGTGGCTACGGAAAGCTCTCGAAAAAATACAAACTCCACGATCTAGAGCCAGTGTTTGGTTTGTTCATTCTGGGTTATTGCAGAAAAATGGCAGTTCAACATGACAGTCTTCACAGAAGATAAAAAAAGCTCATTCTCAGGAAACAAAAACACAACGATTCTTATTCTCAAGCGATTATACAGTAATGAAAACATAACTATGAAAAGGTTACACACTGGACCTTTAATGGAGCAGAGCCGTAGTTACTGTTATTAAGTCTGACTGTGCTTATCCTGCTGTGACAACTCAAAATGTCTGCTGTGCAAACAGTCCATTAAGGCATAATAAATACGTGAAATCAAAAATCTGTGGGGCTTTTCCTTAACATTCTAAAAATAATCAGTTAGTCATTAATGAGCTAAACAGCTCAACACTATATCAGCAACATGCAACAACTGTAAAACGGGGATTCATAGCTGCGAATGAACATATTCCTGGTGATGCTTGATAATAAGCTTGTAGTAAAAAGGTGTAGGCACACCTACCGGAACACCCCTATCCCCTCTTGCTCCATCTGCACCTGGTTGTCCAGGGGAACCAGGTTCTCCCTGTGGGAAAAAAGACAGACATGTGAGTCATGATAAAATACTGTATGTTTCATTATCCTACAAAATATTCCACACCAAAAAAGTCAGTGTGAACTCACTCTCTCTCCTGGAGGTCCTCTTGGTCCGGGAGGCCCGTCGTCACCCTGGGGAGAAGACACAAGGCCATTAGAATGTCATATTTGCATATGGAAAATACACACACTATCTCATAAGCTGCATATGTCTCCAGTCATCGCCCAGTGTGTTCCTGGGTATGATTAAGTCACAGTACCTTAGGTCCAGACTTGCCAGGAAAACCATCTGCTCCGCGCTCTCCCCTGGGCCCCTTCAGAGACACAAGATTTCGATTTAGATGTCATACTTTCAAAAACCAGTGTTTGCCAATAACATCTGCAGATATTGAATGTTGTAAAGGTAAACCCACCACAACTCAGTTTAGCCACCACATTAAATGTCGCAGTAGATGAAATGTCGCAGTACATTTAATCTTGCTGCGTCAATTAAATCCATAAATTAAATGTTTTTTGCTTATACTACTAGTTACTGAATTTGCCCTTTTGACTTAGAGGTCTGGAACCAGGCTAGTAGTTGCTAATTGCTTCATATTGTGTTTCTTGTCTTAGTTTACACTTTTTGTTTCTTTAGCATTCTCCACTCTATATCTAAAGTATACATGCTTCTCAAATAGCAATATGGAGCACATTTTTTAGGTAATGCAGCTTTTCCACTCTTACAACCTATGACTTGTAGCTTAGAAGAAGCTTATTAGAAGCCATACAGTCAATAATCTTACAATGGTTACAGTGACAAAACAATATTTATTTTTACGTCCACTTGGGGACAGAACTCCACAACAAGCTGAAAAAAAACACATTTGACATATTCTGGCATTTGACATGGCTAATGTGTTAGCAAACAGTGTCCTATTTCCACATCCAGCAAGCAACGTTAGCATCCATTTTAAGTCATGTTTCTGGCCACCTGATGAATCGAAGTCCAATATTCAATATCCTTCTAGCTTTGTTTTTGTGTTCACCAAGTCCTCAGAAATACATCTGGGTCTTAATCTTAAAATGCTAAACTTTGTTCACCAGTTAGTTGCTAACTTTGACTGCTGTCTGGTGGCATACAGTTGGGGTTTCAGATTGTTTTAGTTAAAAATGACTCGAGGTTGACAAGAGCAGTGAGAGTGAACATTATACATGCAGGCTGTAAAACCAAAACAATGAGCTAAAAGATGCTAAAAAAGCTCCATGGAGCTGAGCAGAATCTCAGATCTGAGGGATGATTCTCTGTTGTTTCACTAAATACTTTCACCTTACAAATAGTTATTTGAGCCATTGTTTTTAAATCTTTAAAGTAACCAGAAGTTTGTTCACTGTGAACATAAAAGGCAAAAGAAAAAGAAAGTTATTCTAAAGGTCATACTGACCATGGCACCGTCATTTCCAGGAAGACCATCCAGACCATCTTTACCAGGCAGACCCTTTAAAGATCAGTGACAAAAGGCTGACATTTAGTGACATGAACAGGGAAACAACAAGAGAGATTTTTTTAATTGAGAGTAAAAGGCCAACTCACAGGCTTTCCAGGCTCTCCAGGTTTGCCTGAAAATCCAAGTTCACCAGGTAGACCCTTCATAAAGAAAGAACAGTTATGTGAATATGTTCTGTGTCATTTTGCTGCCAAAAGAATGATAATATTTAAGAATTATTGTGGTTGAGTGTGTGTCTGGTCACGTACAGGGGGTCCAGTGTGTCCTTGGTTTCCTGGTGGCCCAGCTGGACCCTGAGGACCCTGCAAAATCAAAAAATATCATTAGTGAAAAATGTCACTTGATCATCATTTCATAAATACACTAACATAATGTGGGTTTTAAAAGTATCTATATTTTTTGGAGAGAAATAATATAAACATGCAAATACGCAATATATTTGGAATATTTTCTGGCCAAATATGTTAAAAACAAATATTCAGATTTTCCCCAAGGCTTTTTATTCATACAGTATGGACCTCTAAAAGACATATTAGTACCAGTGAGCAGCCACTAGAGGGGGGCATTATAGCACTGTTTACAGCTCATTCAACCTTGGATACCACTTGAAGACAGGTGTATTTCTATGTTGCTCCAGGGAGTCATTTGGAAAATTAATAGACGTAACCTGTTGGTTTTAATCTAGCCTGTTTATTTTCCCTCTATTAAAACACACAATGAAGACACCTTGGAGAGAGCAGTAATTTTGCGCTTTGTGGGTCACATCAAATGTTGCGCAACCCACACAATTAAAATATCAAATTAATTCTCCTCAGTTCTCCTTGAGAGGTCATTGAAGTGCAAGAACAAGCACTGACGGGAGCTGTACATAAACAAAAGTGTAATTTTAAAAAAGTGTATTACCAATATGTGTGTACATTTTGCTTGCTATGAAACTGAAATTGTTCTTACAGGCGGTCCAGGAAGGCCATCCACTCCAGGAAGTCCACTTTCACCCTTCTTTCCCTGAAAGACAACAGTTAAATGAAATCACTACATTAAAAAAACATTCAGTACATAAAGGTGAGCTGTTTTCAGGCTGTAGCTACTACTGAGGATGCTGAGGTCATGTCTTCTGTATTATTTCTTTCATATTGGGGATTGAACAAAAATGTTCAATTTCCATATAAATGTATAGCTTTAGAAAAAGCTGTCACTCATACAGCATTCTGTCACAAAAAAAAAAATACACAACTATAGCTACATTATATTGAATGAAGGCTGGCTGGTGAGTTAGCCACGGCTTGCCTTAGCTAAAGCTAACAAAAAATTAATTACAGATGTTTTCCCTAGCTGCTGCCTGTCATTGGGAAATATTGATTTTCAAAATAAAAATGGACGGACATACGGTGGCCCTGAAAGCTCAATGCACAGAAGAAAACATACAGATAGGTAAAACTAAAATCAGGCAATTTAAGAAAACATCTTCATCTTCTTCATATATAGCATTTAAAGCCACAGTTTCCGTTGTTGTCTGCGCTACTTGCAACATTTCTGTATTTCATTGTGTTTTGTCACATTTTTTCTAAAAATAATGGTCATGTGTTGAAGTCGGTGATGTTTCCTTAATTTGCTTATGTTTTCTCTGTTTGCATGTGTTTTCTTAAATTGCCTTGAGTTCTCAGGACAGACAGACACAGCAAAACAGACATTTAATCCATTTAATCCATTTAATCCCTATGAACTGTAACTAAATAGTCAAAATTAAAGAAAGCTAAAATAATACATTTTGTCCGTGGATACTGTTTTTTTACTTGCATTCCCAGAATGTCTCCTTCTGCATAATCCTGACACCACTGACTCTTTATTTTATTTTCTTACTTATTTTTTGCTTTATTTTCCTTTTACCCCTTTGCTTTTTTCCCTTATGTCTTTTCTTGATGTAATGTTTTATATAATTATTATTATCATGAAGTTTACTGGGCTAGTACTGCTTGGATTTATTCTTTACTTCTCATTATTCTGTTTAAAAAAAAACAACAACTAAAATTCCATAAGAAACACAAGAAAATTCTGGCACATTTGCTTTTTAATCTATTTTTGTCTTATTTTTCTTCATATGTTTGTTGATGCCGTCCTCTGCAGCCTTTTAAGACTCTTCACATTCCAGCCCAGCTGCCCTCAGCTGTCATATCAGCATAGAGGTGAATAGACAGGCCTCAGCAGTGGCGACACACACAGCTGATGAGAGCTTTGCTGCAGTGGAGGTGAGAGTGCCTCAATCTATACCAACTCAACCATACAGCACACTCTATCAGCACTGGCAGCAGTGGAGACCACCCTATTATCACAGCTCTCAACCTTCACCCCACCCCCCCCCACACACACACACACACACACACACACACACACACTCTCTCCCTGCTCCCTGTGCATCTTCAACTGAGGTATAACAACCCTAAAGCTGGGTAAAATAGGTCAAGCTCCTCACCATCTGTCTGTTTTTTAGGATTTAAGCATCCTATTGGGCTGGGAAATGCTTCAGCAGGACCTTCAATGATATTAAAAAATAAAAGCAAGGCAGAAGCAGATTTTCTAGATATTGTGGAATCTGAACCCAGTGTGATCCCTTTATTCATGTTAATAAACTAAAAATCCCTCGATCTCAGAGAAGCTTGTTTGGCTGAGGACAAAGTGCATTCTGCTGGAAGAGAAGTCTTTCATTCGTGGCCAGAGGAGGTTTGCCTTGCCTCTGCTGCCCAACTGAGCAGCTGCAAATGTTGATTCCAACATATTGCTGATGAGAAGCTAATTGCTCCCAGTAGAGAAGGGGGATGGAGGTCACTATCTTTGTTAATGTTTTGGAAGAACAAATTATGTAGAACCACTGTGTCTATGTTAATTACACACTGCTGTGTGATGGGGCCAGTGTGAGACAGAGGGAATAACAATATGAGAATAATTCCACAACACTGATAACAGCTACAGTATAAACCCTCATTAGCATGAGGAATAAATATCAGTTTTCTTAATTCAAGATAATCCCAGTGGGAATATGATACATATGTTTATAGGTCTACAGTATAAACTTCTAATTACTGCATATTATAATTCTGTTCTACAAGAGCTTCTCTGGGGACATAATAATCTCATTTTAGTCAAAACTCAATAGATTGTTGCATATGTAAAGTTACACTAAAGCAAAAGAAATCCCCAAACTTTAGGTATCAAAATATTTCCTATGTATTTTTGTTTCAATATCACACAATTATTGTTTTGTGATTTAGGCATTACAAGGTTTGATTTCTTGTAATCTCAAAAAGAGTCTGTTATTTGTGGTTACAAGTAACCGTTTTCAATTTTCTTGTGAATAAAAACACGTTTGTGATGCAAACCTGTCTGGAAAACATAATTGCTCCCAAGAAATAAGACAGGACAACACGTTCTCACTCCCAATTCGATAAATACTGCCGTTACAGCCCTCTGCTTCAAAATATTACGCTGTAGGTGCCCCTCAGGATCATTTCTGGACGCACAGGATGAGTGAAAGTCCCATCCACCCACCCCACCTCCTCCATATGCGGACTTCCTGGCTCTTTATAATATGTATACCAGGAGCATCCATAAATAATGCTGAAAGATAGAGCCCCCTCTGTCATATTTTGATGCAGAGGGCCACTGACCAAGCAGCAGTATTTGTCAAGTTGGGAGTGAGACTGGGCCAGACAGGAGTTTGAATTTTCCTGCAAAAACACTTAAAGCTGCAGTCAGTAATTTAAAAAAAAAATTACTTTTTGTTTTCAGTATATCCTGACAGTAGCACACGAGACAGACAATCTGTATGCTCCTAATGGCATTTGCAAGAATCTACCGGGCCTGAACGAAAATAAGCAATCAGAGCCAAGAAAGGTAGGAAGAGGCTTTAGGTTGGTGGCTTGAAGATTGTTGATTACTGAGTTTCATTCCCAACATCGATATTCGACAACCTGTGAATGAGACTCAACAATCAATTATCTTTCTCTGCTCTGATTGGTTGTTTTCATTCAGACATGGTGGATTCTTGTACCTGTCTCATGTACTACTGTCAGATATATTTATATTTATTATTATAATTTAGCATGTTTGCTAATATTTTTTATTAATTAGCACTAAACACAACCAGCTGACAAAAAAACATTGTTAATTCTACAGCTACACTACATTCTACAGCATGCTAGAAATAAATCGAAAGAATAGTAGTTTGGACTGCTAATGTGTTTACATTCATCAGGTTTTCACTGGGTTCCACACATTAATATATAAAGCCCTATAAAAATAAACCTACACAGTTGTTAGGTCACCATTAGTTGAGACGTAGTGGCTTTTAATTAAATTATTATTGTACTTAGAAGCCATCAAGAGTGTAATCACAGGGTTTGTGGAAGTTTCAACAGGTGACTTTTTAGGACCATTATGAATGCAATTTAATTTTACTTTATAAAAAAAGTAAAAAGGATATGAAGGAAAATCTAATGCTTCCGTATTTGTTTTATTTCGTAGTTGTTACAACATGATCGATACAAATTGTTCCCAAAAACACATTTAAAAGAGACAAATAACACTTTATACAAGCAACGTTATTTTCATGAATCCAATATATTTAAAACCTTTTAACATTTTAAGACCCTGCAGACACCCTGAATCAACATGTCATTTCAGTGAAATGTATGTGTTCAGGCAGACAGCCAGGTGGAGCCACAGAAGGACTCTAATGTACGTGTAATGTGGGCCAGGAACGCAGAATCAACTTGAAGTGAGAACTATATGAAAATTGGCACAAAATATCAGTTTGTGTCAGTTCCCCAAATAAGGGAACTGTCTGAATTTGTCGATGGAAGCCTGATGTGTGTTAGTCGTGTTGGTTTCATTTCTTCAGTCATGCTGCCACTACAGGTTTGATCTGTTTTCCAGCCAGCTGTCATGATAGACAGAGCTTTAATAATCAACTTGTTCCATTGTACTGCTGAAAAATACCATCAACAAGCCTCGCCCACACTTCCCACACACTAGAATGTGCTTCTCAACTGCTCTGATTAGCTAAATGAATCATTCAAATTTCATTTATCTCTTGAACTGGGCTCTACTCTGTGTGTGTGTGCTGAATGTTGTACATATTTACCGATAATGATGAAACCCTTATCAGATTCTTTGTAGGTTGAAGACAAGCCGGGCACTAGTTTGTCTCGTGCTGACGCCTGACGGAAGAAAACACAGAAAATGATATCATTCCAACACTTCCGTGGAAAAAGCCTGACATCAGTGCGAGTGTTTATCTCAAAAACAGAAACCAGTAACATCTTCCAAACACAAACCAATATGAGTCAGTCTCATGAAAAGTCAAAGCAATGTGGGTGATCACAAATAACCGACTGGTGCTGATTCAGCAAAACCATGTAATGAGACAGAACATGGCTGTAGACCACCAAAGTAATAATAAATAATAAAAACTTTTCAGAACAAAGTTACAAAGTGTTTTACACGGTTGGAACCCGGACTGAAAAACGAGCAATCAGGCAAAATTTAGTGAGATAGAATAAAAAGACCCCCATCAGTAAAAATAAATAATGAAACAGATAAAACAAAATGCAAATAAACGGTGCTGGGGCAAATATATTTAGACCATTAAAATGATACAAAATTAAAAGAATAAAATACCCATCACTTAAATATGATAATAATAAAATAGATAATATAATAAAATATATGACCAAATATATCTATAATGAGATTCTGTATGTGCCATCATTTTGTTGCTTTTTTTAAGCATATGTTCATGCTCATTATTATGGAAGCCCACCAATGTGATGGGAGAAACAAGGATTTTTTAAGTCATTATAATGAGAAACTTTCTTCAAACAATTACTTAGTATCTCAAAATAATGACTTTGTTCCAGACATTACTTAAGCATCATCGGGGAATATAGTGCAATAAAAAGAGTACAGTGCACATACAATAGTATCACAAATAAGAATCGAATTTGCAAACTCTTGAGTGAGAAGAATGCGCAGTACATGGCTGTGCATGTTAAAAATGTTTAGGCCCATGGGGACTAAAACTAAGGTGTACGATGTGCGCAGTTTGTAGTTGCTTGCATCTGTCTGATTTTATTGATATGTTGGGGTGGCTTTGGGGCACAGAGGTGGTAGGAATCCGACACACCAACATATGAATCACCTTTGCATGTGGTTTTTATGGGAACATGTTTGCAAACAGGTGGGCTTATTAACACGCCGGCAGACAAGAACAAAAGCGTTTGTTTGGGAGTTGTTGCTTCGTGAGCAGCTGATGAGATGAATTCACGTGCTTCTGCTTAGTAGTTCTGTTTTGTTGCGGTCTCCACCACTCTGTCTCTTGCAGCTGGGTAATGCTCCACTATGTTCGCCGGTGGCGAGTCCTAACTGTGTCTGACTTACTGTTAACTGCTGGCTGCAGCAGCTAGTGCACAAGTGGTTTATTAGAGCCGTACTGTTGCCGAAATGACGGATTGGATGAAAGCGGTGGACAAATAACACTGTAAATTTGGTGGTGTTCAGCTCAGGGGTCACCTTAAGAGGGCTCCGCTGTGTAACATTTCAGGAGGATTATTGGCAGAAATGGAATCGTGAAATTCCTGCGTATGTGTTACATTCACCGCTGGTATAGGACAGTTTATTGAGACAATTAAAGGGAGGGCGGATCGTGAACGTCTTTAAATCGTAAATAGGGCTAAAGGTTAAAGAGAATGTTACAGTTTGTGCGCAAAGAATTATTGGTGTATAAGATCTCGATGGTCCCAGCCATGGTAGTCTGGTGGCCAAAGTTCTCCTCACATCAGCGTCAGCTGAGTCAGTAGCCTCAGTTTACAATGCTTGCACTGTATGATTTTCTTATATATATATACATATTACATATATATACTCATTCATATATCATAGTTTATATAACACATAGTATATAGCATCTTTATGATACATCTATATACATATATACTATCATACTATAATATACACGTATACTATACGGTACTATATATACCACTATTATATCATTACATTATATACATTTAGTATACATTACTTACTGTATGATATACATACATATTTATATATACATTATATCGTAGGGCTATACATATTTATGAGCTATACAGTGACTAGCATTATCGTAGTACTGTATACATAATTATACATAGCTATAGTGTATACTTATTACATGTATGGTTATATATTTTACGACTTAGTATTACGAGTGAATATATGATACGCGGTATACGTATATAACATAGTATATCTCTATATATCGGTACATTATTATATCATATACAATTATTAGTAATCATATATATACATGGTATTTGGATATATAGCATGTTTACAGTAGTACATA